GCCCTTGGACTAAAAGTTCTATAGTGGATACCCAACCTAGCTAGAACCTAGGTTCAATGGGACAACTAAATTATGGAACGGAGCGTGTCACTGTGGGGGTCTCGGACTCCCTACCACTCCTCGTTGAAAACAGTGACTCCCGCACGAGGCTAGCATGTTGATGCTTTAATGATTCGAATGTTGGTTGACATATGTGAGTATGCGGGATACTCGGAAAAGAATCACCTATGTGAGAGAGAAGTGAGGGTCGCTTCAAAGGAGAATTGATGGGCACAATTCTTCACAAACTCTTGCAGAACCAGGACGGTGACCCACGACCAAAATTGGCACACTCATGAGAACAGAACATGGTTGAGAGGTTCCTGTGTGAGATATGTCATCGTCTACACAAACGGCAGTCGGTTCAAAGACATTGCGTTCTACCATACAGCCAGTAGAGTAAACATGTCTTCACAAGGGAAGGTTCAAAGCGTATAGTGATCCCTACCTATCCTATGCAGGGATCGACCGTTGAACACAGTTGTTTCCGATTTCAAAATACCCTGAGAATCAATTTTTCATTCATGTGGGGGATTATTGGAAAAATAGCATTAAAAAGACATTTAAGTGGCTATTTTGTGGTACAAATATCAGTGGGGTCCACCTCCGATTTGGGTCAGGTCAAAGTGGATTCGGGTTCTTCGTAGTGAGACGAAGAGATTGATATATTGTACGCTCAAAACGGATAATGGGTGAATGAGATATTGATTCTCAAAGTAGACCCATTGAGTTGAAAAAAATGAAGGGAAAAGTGAGTTTTGTCCCACATTAATTTGGAAAGAGGATTCTCAAAGTAGAACCATTCGCGGGCTTGGGCTGTATAGTTCCAAGCTTGCGGGTTTCATGGGCCGGCCCGCAAAAGCCTGCCAAATAAAAAGCCCGCGGTGGAGCGGACCTAATGAGGCGGGCCGGCCCGCATTGACACCCCTATTCACACGTAATATTCTTTATAATTAAAAGGAATACACGAATATATAATTTACATAATTAATGAGTTTATATTAACATAATATTCTGAACACACGGAATTATTCCTAATCTATACATGAATAATTTATTACTGAACACACATTTATATTAATTATTCTTAATTTATACCTAATTAAAAGGTAGGAATACACAGAATTATTCCTAATCTATACATAAATAATTTATTACTGAACACAAGTTTATATTAATTATTCATAATCTATACCTAATTAAAAGGTAGGAATACACGAATATATGTATGGACTAATTATATATACACGGATATTACAGAAATGCTCTAAGTTTTGGGGGAAAAACTTGGTTAGGAGGATTTTACTTTTAATTATATTGATATAGATATAGATGTACTCTATATTTTAGTTTCATTTTTCACACACTAAATTTATTATAGTAACACTAAAGTATCATTTTAATTCTACTACAGTTTCATTTAACGATCATTTGGTCCACACAGCGATATGTGGACCATAGTACATTGTATAATAATTGCGTGGTGAGCTCGCTGCCAAACTCCTAAAATGTAATGTTGAATTTAAAATAAATATATAAAATTTATAATTGCATACTAAAATAGTTTAAATACTGAGTTCATTTTACTTTTGGTCCTAGATTTATAGGTAACTAACATTCCACTTTTAGCCTTTTTGTTTCAAAACATCCCTTGCTTGTTGGTCATATTATTATTGTAGAATGATCATTTTTTTGTCCTTTATCAACGAACATGTTTAAAAGGCGGTGAATATGAGGGCATTTCAACAATTCAGTTCTAACTGTTAATTTTGTTTGTTTTTTTTTGTCCTAGATTTATGTGTCATTCCACTATTACGAAGGCTCAGGTTCTAGAGGCGCTACTGCGAAGGCGTGGATTGCAATTGAAGAAGACATGAGACTCTAGCCGTGAATTAGAGATTTTTTTTCAAAATAATAAAAATAAAAATATAGCGGATTAACCCACTTTATATAAAAAGACCGAAATGTCATCGTATTTAATGTCATTTAAAAATGTTTATTGACGAAAGACTAAAAATGGCAATGCCACTCTGTTTTGGCTTATGGCAGTTCGCTGCCTCTGTGTATTCAGAATGAATGAACTATATATTTAGAATTAGTGAATTATAAATTCAGAATTAGTGAATTATATATCCAGAATTAATGAACTATATATCTAGAATTAGTGAACTATATATCCAGAATTAATGAACTATATATCCAGAATTAGTGAACTATATATATCCAAACCGGTTACTGGTACTCTATTTTGGCTAATGGCCGACTGGAGTTTAAAAAAAAAATTGATTGGTGGAGTTAAACGGTGCCACTAACGGCACCGTTACTCCACCATAGTGAAACGGCGTCGTTCGTAACCGTGTGCGCGATGCGCACTTCCACATCATAATGATTGCTAAAAATATAGCATTAAAAATGGAATTAACTCTAACTATACAAATTTCACCCAAAAAAAAAAAAAAAAAAAAAAACTCTAATTATACAAAAGGAATGAATCTTAGAAATTGCTCACATGGCAAATTATGTAGTATTATTATACTATATTTTCCTTAAACATTGTACTATATTTTCCTTAACAATATACAAATAAATTACCATATTAATAGGAATCAATATCAAATTTACAAATTATGCTCCATAATTATATTATTTTTTCTTTTTGAAGGGGCTCCATAATTATATTATGATAACTCAAATGGCATGAATTATGCGAAATGAAATTCACAATAATATAAATTAGGAGTGAGCATAGATTTGTTCAATAGATTCTAACCTGTCAAATTCAATTTTCCTCCGCCTAAAGTAGATGTGTAAAATTGATGGAACGCGATCCCATTTAATGAAAATCTACCACTAGCTCAGCAGCTCGATTGTGAATCTACAGTGATATAGTAATAATATATAATAATATATACTATGTAATTATTACATTGTAATTGTAATATATTTTGTAATACATATAACATATTAAGATATGTATGTAGAAATATTATATATATATATATATATATATATATATATATATATATATATATATATATATATATATAAGGGATCAGGTGCATTTGAGACTTTCCGTGCGGTTGTGCGGATGGACGCACATTAAGCATTAATCTGACGCACTTAAAGTACACAACACACGCACATTAACTACACAAACAAAACACCTTCAGAACATTAACTCACGCAGGTTAAACACAAGTCTCACGCATGTTAAGCACAAAAACAGACGCACCTTAGGTTTTAAAAACAACTCACATTAAGTACACTCTCACGCACATTAAGTACAAAATTCACGCACCTTAAGCACACGACTCACGCACATTAAGCACAGTGGCGGGCCCAGAATTTTTTTTCAGTGGGGACAAAACATTAAAGCAAAATTGATAATTAGAAAAAAAAAATGACACACTTAAAAAGTATAGCCATAAATAATGTTGGACATAGGAAAATTATAAAACACATCAAAATATTATAAAAATATTCATAACAAAATATGAACATAATCAATTTGATAAAATAATTTGAATAAAAGATCCATTATAAATTACACATCTCATCTCATTATTAATATAAATGAAGATTTATATATATATATAAATTGTGTTGAAGCAATATGCACTATTAATAATAGTGAAAATGTGAAATAATGAGAAAATTTATGTTGAAAGCATATGAACCCTGACTTACCTTAAGTTCAACCACGCGCTCAGCCAACTAGGCTTACACACCTTCTTTTATCATTTGTCTATTTTTTAATACTTATACTAAAACTTGTACGTACTATATATACACATATACATACAAGGGTTATATAAGGGGTGGGAGTGGGGTGAGTGGGGGCAGCTGACCCCACTGCCCCCACTGTAGGCCCGTCCCTAATTAAGCACAAAACTCACGCACATTAAGCATAAAACACATGCACTTTAAAGTTTCAACAACTCACATTAAGTACACACTCACGCACATTAAGCACAAAACTCACGCAAATTATGCACACGACCCACGCACATTAAGTACAAAACTCACGCACATTAAACATTACACATTCACGCATATTAAGCACAAATCTCACACACATTAAGCACAAGACTCACGCACATTAAATACAAAACTCACGCACATTAATCACCCGCACAACCACAAGTGAAACAATTAAATGCACCTGAACCAGAACCAGAACCATATAATATATATATATATATATATATATATATATATATATATATATATATATATATAATTGCAATTCTAACATTTGAGTAAACCTGGAATATCTACATGATTTGGTCTTTGATTTTGATTTGACTGTATATGATTTGATTTGAATCGTCTAATTTGATTTGAATCGTCTAATTTGATTCGAACTGTGGTCATGATTTTTTTTCTTTGACCACGAGGGGTCCTGAGCAGATCCTAAGGAGATTGGTTTTCAATTATGGTCCACATAGCTAATAATATATTTTTAGTATATATTAAAAATGTACTTACACAACAATTTGCCATTAATTTTTCTATACAAAAGAGGGTTCGAACTTCTAACCTCTTTTAAAGAACGAAAGTGCGCGGTCACTCACACCAATCAAATTGGTTAATGGTCATGATTACTTTTAATTTCATTCTCTCTGTTGGGCTTTATTCCATTGTATTAAAAAAAATTCCTAATGTCCTTTCCAAAAAAAAATAAAAAATCCTTATGTCATGTGAATTAGGCATACTCTTTATTATTCCCGTCGTCTAAGCTTAGGATAACAATTCTTTTACGTTCTCCCAAATACTCTATCAAAGCGGAGTGTAGGACCCTTAGAGTTGGGGATTCAACCTTTCGGGAGAAGAAGGATAGCAATTCTAGGAAAATTAAGCAGTGCAATATTCTTAATAATATATAGGCCAATTGAAGAGCATTTAGCTTTTACAAAAACAAATATGATAAAGGGAGAATAGTTACTTGATCTTTCAATTTCAGAAATAACAATTAAACTATTGAAGAAACACTTGTGGTGGACGGCCTGGTTAACTTGGTTGGGGGAAGATAGGGATGCTTTGTTCATTCCTAAAGAAATTTTGAGGATCAACCTTGCTTTTTATCTTCACCAACCTATCAAAGTTCTCCTTGAAATACTTCAATCCATACTCCATTCCCTCCGAGTAACTTTGCGGTCCATTATTATTGTGGTTGATTCCCAAATCTAAGTCTCGGTAGTTCAAAAACGCCGCCCTAGGATTCTCCGAAACAAATGGAGTCATATGTTCATAGAGTTGTCTTATTAACCCTAGGTTTCTCTCAGCCGCCTTGTCACCCTCTTCCAGCCAGCTTATTGCGTATTGAATCATAGCAATATTTCCAGATCGATGGGGAAAGGGTTTTGCCGTAGAGGGAATCTCCGCCATTGATCCGCCGTATGGGTTGAACGTCAACGCCACTCTCTCAAGCTCCACCATTTTCTTGAATATGAACTCTATGCCTTCTTTTGGCATTGGGGTCTGAAGATAATCTGATTTGATCTTGAAGTAGTTTAGTCCTTGGGGCTGCCTAATGAGCAAGGCCTCCAATGGGGTTTTTGCTGGGAAATTTGTGTAGAAGAGCACTGATTCTATCCATGCCATTTCTGTGCAGTCCTCCTGATTTAACCCTAGCTCCGGGAAGCTTTTATTCATGGTGGAGAGAAGGGTTTTCGAGTCTCCGAGGAAGAGGGAGTTGAAGGTGGCGCTTATGGTCTTGTTGGCCACTCCAAGTGTGAGCCGGATGAAAAGGTTGTTGTCTAGGTGGTTCGAGACGCGTTGGTGGCGATAGACGATGTTGGTTAGGTTCTGGTCGTAGGTTCTGGTGACTCTGAAGACGGTGACCTTAGGTGGGACGCGTACCAGTTTTATTTTGTATGACAGGACAACTCCAAAGCTGTAAGCGCCGCCACCAGTGATGGCCCAGAACAAGTCCTCTCCCATGGATTTTCGATCAAGAAGATTGCCCTTGACGTCGATCAACTTGGCATCAATGACGTTATCCACAGTGAGGCCGTATTTTCTCATCATGTTTCCATATCCGCCGCCACCAATATGGCCACCCATTCCAATAGTTGTGCACACACCAGCAGGGAAGCCATGCACATTGCTTTTGTTGGCAATTAAATAGTAAACTTCTCCTGAGGTGGCTCCAACTTCAATCCAAGCAGTCTCATCCTCGATGCTAACATTAATCGATCGAAAGTTGAACATGTCAAGGATAAAAAATGGCACGTCTGAGACATATGACACGCCTTCAAAGTCATGGCCCCCACTTCGGATTTTCATTTGGAGGTCATGCTTATTGGCGCATAATATCGACAACTGAATGTGTGAGATGTGTGTTGGAGTCACAATAAAAAGTGGTTTTTTTGTATTAGACTCGTTAAATCTCAGGTTTCGTAAATATTCTCGTAAAACAAGAGAAAATGAAGAGTTGTTTGGGGTGTAAATGGCAGAGGAAATTGGATGAGAAGGATTTGAATGGTTGTTAAGACATTCAAGAATTGTATCATTGCAAGAACACAAAGGTGTTCGTGCAATAATGCATAAAAAGAAAATGGTTAAAAAATATAAAGGGAACCTCATGTTTATTTTTTGTGAAAAATAAGTTATTGCTTGAAAGAGTTGAAGGTGTATTATGACCACAAGGTGGATATGTTGAGGTTTATATAGGAAAATATTTGATTTGGGAGAAGAAGGAAAATATTTGATTGGGGAGAAAAAGGAAAATATTTGATTTGGGAGAAAAAGGAAAATATTTGACTGCACCTGGTCCATGAAGATATTTTAGAGATTTGAATATTATAACCTATATGGGGTAAAAATAATTAAAAATATTATTCACATATATTAAAAAAGAAATGAATTTATTACTCTTTTTTAAAAAAAGGTAAAACTGAATGCATTAACTCAATAACAGTAACAAAAATCCAGGGGAGAATTCTACCAAGTGAAACCAAAAGCCAGCACTCGTCACAAGAGAGTGGGCCAACTAGTTCGTTGAACGAGGAATAAAGCAACATAAATAACTGTGAAAATAATTTAACAATATTTGACATTAATCTAAAATAGGACCAATATAGGAGAACTATTTGTGTTTGTTAGTTAAGGCAACCATGACGTTATTGCAATATATTTCAAGACAAATTTTGTTGAGATTCCGAGACTTAAGTCAGGAGAGAGCCTTTTTAAAAGCCATATAGCTTCGGCCTTATAGGGCTCCTAAACACAGGGCCGGTAAGGGGCCATTGACAGCGGCTAGAAATTCACCTGCTAAATACAATAAAAGAATTGATAAGTAAAAGATTTTGTAGAGAAGGCATTAAAGAGCAAGATCATTTTGATGAGAACAATAGCTTACGTGGTATGATAACTACAGACGCCATCATCCATATATACGACTTTATGTGTTGCATGCATGAATGGTTTTGAATTTTCTCATTACTCCGCACATATTTGTTTGTCAACCCCTTTGAATTCTCAACGCCCAAAACCTTACTATCTTGAAAAGTTTAATAATTGCTTAGAAAAAAAAAAGAAAAGAAAAGAAAATTCAATCGTAGAATTACAAAGGCAATAAAAAGTCAAATGCTAAGTTGTTTACTTACAATATATATATATATATATATATATTTTATATTCATCTTAAATTTTTAAACATTTTAAAATCATTTTTAATTTCCTATTATAAAATTAGAAAACGTATATGTTCAAATACAATTTATTTACCAAGGGGCTTATGGTTCATTGGTATTAGATTACTACCCTATGTGGGAGGTCTAGGTTTTGAGCCTCAGGGTAGGCATAGATTGTATGGGTATCCCCCTTCCTCTGTAATAAAAAAAAAAATACAATTCATTTTCAATTTATAAAACGTACAACTATTCAAAATTTTTTTATTATCAAATATTAACGGTGATTAAATGAATCAATAAATATTTTGAGTAGTTGTATGTTTTTGTTTTTTTTTTTTTTAATCAAATGTATCAATAAATATTTTTATTGGAATGATTTAATTAGGTCATTATGGTATTACACGAACGAATGAAATAATGACAATGTTTATTTTTAAATAGAGTGAATTTCATTTTTGGTTCTACTGTTATAGGGGCATTTTCAATTTTAGTCCACTTTAATTTTTTTTGCCACTTTATAACCACTATTATTGAATGTGTTCCACTTTTAGTCCCACCGTTAGTATTTTCATCAAGAGACCGTGTAATCTAGGGGTATTTTGACATTTCTTCTCATCCAAGACTATGTTTGACTAAAGAAATGAGAACATTAAACCTAAAACCTAAGAAACCTCGCCGGCCCATGTTGGAACGAACGAAACGATGTAACTGGAACACATTCAATAACATTAAAAAATTAAAGTGGACTGAAATTGGAAACGCCCCTATAACAGTAGGCCCAAAAATGGAATTCACTCTTTTAAATAAGTACTTCAAAGTATATTTGAATGCAAAATTATATAGGATATGTTCATGTGTAGGAGTGATTGATTATAATTGTCACTAAAATAAATGTTTACAACTTTTTAAAAATACTTGTCTAAATACTTAGTCTAAATACTTAGTCTAAATAAATACTACTTTTGATTTGAATTTGTCTAAGTCTTTTTAATTCTCTTTTAGGTAGCACTAATATTTTTACTCGTGCGTTGCACGGAATTAATTTGTTATAATACTTTAAAAATATTTGGACTGATATACAATTGTATAAATTATAACATCGAATATTATATAATGCAATTGAGGAATTGAGTTGGATCGGCTATGTTTTATGATGTTATCATTACTTGAATCCGAGCAAATTAAATAATTGTCCAATTATTAGTTAACGTGTAGATATACGTATCTAGTGCTGATCGAAACTTTAGAGATTTTATATATCAGTGTTTAGGATTTGTATTAATTGGGTGAATTAGCTCGTTGTCTACCAATTCAGTTATAGAAATTATTTGTATGAAAGATATATTTTCAATATAGATATATAGCAATTTTGTCATATTTGTATAAAAAGAAAACATAATATCACTGGTTTGAATTATAAATTATTGAAAATCACTTTGTAGACGACATTGGTAGTAGTAACAGAATTTTATCCATCCTCGTCTAGAGCTAAAACCTTCAGGCCATCAGGATGGGTGACTCGGGAAAAAAGCTACATACAATTGACCATGATTAAAGACTGGTTTTTTCGATAATAACCCAACGTGAGTTAGTGTTTGTCATTGACTTTTGCACGAAATGTATTTGTTATAATATATTAATAATAATTACATCGATATACAATTGTGTAAATTACAACATCGAATATTATATAGTGCAATTGAAGAATTGATTATGTTTTATGATGTTACTATTGCTTTAATTCAAGAAAATAATTACCCAAATAATAGCTAATATGTAGATATACGCATCTTGTGCTAAAACTTTAGACAATTTATATATCAATGTTCTGGATTTGTATTACCCGTGCGTTTCACGGAATTTTTTTTTTTGTTATTATGAATTTAAAATAAAAAATAGGAAAAAAATTAAAAAGATGTTAAAATGTACAATATAATAATATAGTTGGACTTTTATATATTTGGTCAAGTATCTATTTTAATAACATACAAAATTTAAATTTAAATTTTGTATGGTTAATATAATCTCTAATCATTTACATATTTAGATAAATTTATACAAAAATTTCACATAATTAAGTTGTTTTATTCTTAATTAACTGTATTTCATATATATTATAAACTGTAATCGGACGCATTTCTTTATATGATTGTACAATACATTGTATATAGACATAATATTTTTAATATGTATACAAGAAAATTCTATAATATACTTTGATTAATTATAATTTGTATTGATACATTTATAATTAAAAAAAATTATATTTAGAATTTTAAAAATTAGTATTTAAATTTTGTATGATTAATACAATGCATAAGTGTATATACGTATGCATGAATTATGCGAAATGAAATTCACAATAGTATAAATTAGGAGTGAGCATAGATTTGTCCAATCGATTCAAATCTGTCAAATTCAATTTGCCTCCACCGAAAGTAGATGTGTAAAATTGATGGAACGCGATCCCATTTAATGAAAATCTACAACTAGCTCAGCAGATCGATTGTGAATCTGCAGTGATATAGTAATTTAATATACATATCTACTATACTAATAAGAGCCCAAGAGAGTTAGACCTATAATGGGTAGAAAAAATGGCGGCCATAATTTTTTAATCAAATGAATGACTCAGATTGATCAGATTTTAATTTTTTCTTAAATTTTCTAATTTATCCTTAATGAATATAATTATCCGTTAACTTTTCCGTTAAATATTATATTTTTCGTTAATTTTTGTTAGTTCACCATTAACTTACTCATTGATTTCAATAAGAATGGTCTTAGGTTCGAACCCCATCCCAATCAAAGTTGGCATAATTAGTATTTTATTTTACTCTTATTAAATTAAATAATAATTTAGTAGCTACAAAAAAAAAAAAAAATACATATGCATTTCTTTAATTTAGAATTATGTGTCTACAATGTCTTTATTCAAAAAAAATTTATTCATTATCAATAAATTAAATAAGAGAAATAATTTCATTAGTTATATTGTCTTTATTTTTTCTCCAATATAAAAATTATTTACATTCAAATTCATCAATTTATTATATTCGCTACATTGTCCATACAATGTCTTTACTAAAAAAATTATTTATATCAATAAATTAATTAATAGACATAATTTTATTAGTTATATTGTCTTTATATTTTTCCAAGTAAAAATTCTTTACATTCAAATTTCAAATTCATCAATTGATTATATTCACTACATTGTCTATATCTTTTTTGTGCACTATTTTTTAATTAAATATCAAAGTTACAATACAAAATAATGCTATATATTTATTTACCAAGTATTTTATTTATACCATTAAAAAATTTAAAAAATATAATTAATATAACCAATCATATTAACTACTTGAGGGATTTGTTGACAAAGGCAGTATTCAAATCGCACAACAAATTGAAGTGAGAACTAACTCGCAATGTCCTTGTTTGACAATCAGCAGTTAGCAGTTAGCGGTTAGCGTTAGCGGATTATATTAGCGAATTTGACCAGCGAATTATATCAACAGTTGGAAAAAAGATATTTGAAAAAAATTAGTTGTTTAGATTAACATGTAAAATGGCCTAAGGGTATAATAATAATAATAATAATAATAATAATAATAATAATAATAATAATAATAATAATAATAATAATAATAATAATAATAATAATAATAATAATAATAATCCTTTAGATAATAAAGCTATATGGTTTGGGAAATATTTAATGTTACAATTAATGCAACAACATCCTTTATTATAAAAAAAAAAACACACACACACACAACATTTAAAAAATAAAATAGCTATATATTATATAATCATATAAAAAATATACTTTTGAAAAATAAAATAGCTATATATTATATAATCATATAAAAAATGTGTACAATTAGAGTTTAAATTTACACCTACAAAATTTGAAATTTGCTTTCCAAATGTAATTATCTTAGTTATTATTTGTATTGTGAAAATTATAATATAGATGAAATACAA